GCAATCCCAAGTATTTAGTAGACCTGTGAGAAGAAATATTGTTCAGAGAGCTGCAGATTGATCTTTGAAGGTGGAGGGGTGTATTTCTACTGAAAAATACAGCAGATTTTTGGAGATTAATAGCTTGACCAGAGAAGAGTTTGTATTGCTCCAGAATGTTCATGAGAAACCCAGCTTGGTCAACCCCAGCCTTAAGGAAAAACAGTGAGTCATCTGCAAAGAGAATATGAGACAGCACAGGCCCATTTCTGGAAAGTTTCATCCCTTTAAGCATGCCAGAGGATATTGAGTTGTGAATGAGAGCAGTAAGCAATTCAGTGACAATAAGAAAGAGGTAGGGGGATAGAGGATCCCCCTGCCTAATTCCCCTAGAAGGTAAAACATAACCACTGATGCTTCCATTAATCTTGAAGGAAAAGGAGGCAGAAGTAACACAAATCATAACAAGCTTCACAAAATCACTATGGAATCCCATTTGAAGCATAATTTTCTTTAAGCAGAGCCATTCAACTCTGTCAAAAGCTTTAATAAGATCTAACTTGAGGGCCATGAAAGAATTAGGACCAGAGGAGTGCCTGTTCAGGAAGTGGAAAGCTTCTTGGGCAATTATCACATTGTCAGTAATATGTCTACCCTCAAGAAAAGCAGTCTGATGCTCACTGATGCAATGTGGCAAGTAGGCCTTGAGTCTCTGAGCTAAGATTTTGGATATGAGCTTATAGACTACACTACAAAGGCTTATTGGTCTGAATTGACTCAAGTTATCTGGGTGGTGACATTTGGGGATAAGGGATAAGACAGTGTGATTCCAATATTTGAGGATAGTACCTGATTGGAAGAAACCGTGGACTGCCTTCATAAGATCAGATTTGATTAAGCTCCAGAAATTTTGATAAAAGGCAGCTGTCATTCCATCTTCACCAGGTGATTTATCAGGCTAAAAACTGAACAAAGATTGTTTTACTTCATCTTCATCAACAGGTTTGAGGAGGGCAGTGTTCATGTCTTGAGTTATGGTCTCTGGAATTAGGTGGAGAATGGATTCCCCACCCCAACTGCCCTCAGTAGAGAAGAGATTAGTATAGAATTCAGAGATATGAGACTCAATCTCAGTTTGAGAGGAGTGGATTCTGCCTTGGTTTGAAATGAGCCTGGTTATTGCATTGAGTTTTCTTCTCTGGAGAGTATAGGCATGAAGAATTTGGTGTTGGCATCCCCTTCTTTTAACCATCTGTACTTAGCTTTTTGCTGCCAGTGGAGTTCCTCCAGAGAGTGTGCCTTGTTTAGCTTTCTTTTTGTCTCTTCCCAGATTTCCCAGTTTGTCTCCTTGTCATAAGTGTTGAGATCTTCCATTCTCTGAGTAAGTTCAGATATTTCTTTTTGCCTTGTGGATTGAAAAGAAGAACTCCAGATGAGGATAGCAATCCTGGTATTCTTGACCCTTATCTTCCATTCTCTGAGTAAGTTCAGATATTTCTTTTTGCCTTGTGGATTGAAAAGAAGAACTCCAGATGAGGATAGCAATCCTGGTATTCTTGACCCTCTCCTTAAGCTGAAAAAAAGGGGTACCAGTTACTGGGGACTTCCAAGCAGCAGTAACTATATCATTAAAGCCATCCATGCTTAACCATCTTTTATCAAAGTGAAAGGGGGCCTTTCTTTTCATTTGAGGAAGTCCCAAGCTCAAGAGAAGAGCAGTATGGTCAGAAGAACTTCTGGGAGTATTGGATACAGCTGCATTGGGGTATGAATGAGACCAGTCAAGAGAACCAAAGGCTCTGTCCAGCTTTTCTTCAACCAGAGCAGGAGGAGCTCTGTTGTTACTCCAAGTAAAAGCATAGCCATTTGATTGAACTTCCAGCATGTCCATTTCAGATACAAAAGAGTTAAAACCCAAGAGGCTAAGGGTTGGTCTGTTGGTTCCACTTGATTTCTCTGAGTTTGAGAGGATGTCATTCCAGTCTCCAATGGAGAACCAAAGAGATCCCCATTTTTGTTTAGTTGCCAACATTTCTTCCCTCTGAGTCTCTCTGATAACTTTGCAGGGACTAAGATAGACAAAAATTCCCCATTGAAGGGGGTGGGGATGCAGCTAGAATTCAACAGCAATAAAATAATTTTCACAGATAATTTGATTAATAACAATGTGAGTATCCCACATCAAAACAAGCCCTCCACATAGGCCTATTGGGTCAACTATAGCAACCCTATTATCAAAACCTAACTTTTTACAAACCGAATTAACAAAAGCAGATTGTTTTTTGGTTTCTGAGAGGAAGATAAAATTTGGATGGTGAGCTTTCTTGAGCTCTCTGATTTGGGAAATTGTAGAGGGCCCACCCAGCCCTCTACAATTCCACACCAGAGCTAACATTTATCCTGGTGGTGCCATTCAAGGCTGGCAACCCCCACCATTTCCGGATTAGCTTTTTGCTTTTTAGATTGAACCTGCTTATGAGTGTTGGAGTCCTCTGATTGGTCTGTTGGCTCCAAGACTTGTCTGTCTCTCTTTCCATTAAAAAGCTGGTCAATAATAATAGGAGCTTCATTGGTTATGAGAAGCCTGCCCATCCTTGTGCCTGATCTTCTCCAAGATTTGAGAGGCTGGGATTTAGAGATTTGAAAGGATTTTTCTGGTGAAGAAGGATCTGTGACTAGAGCTGTGTCTCCTGTTTCTACTTCCATGATAGAGGATTCCACAATCTGCAGATTGGCTACTTCATGTTCCTCTTCTTCATCTCTGCTTTGGTTAGCTGAGACCACAGATGGTGCCCCAATAGATTTAGCCGGAGATTCTGTGTTTCCTATGCTAGGAATAATTTGATTCTGATCAGCACAATGGCTTGATGAGGCTCTTTGGGAAGTGCCATTGTCAGTAGCAATAGGAGATTCTGGAGGTGGGGATGATCTAGAACCAGATAAACTGAAAGTACTCCCTCTGAAGCCATCGGCTGCCCTCATCCAATCACCATATTGTCCCTCTTGAAGGGAGTTGTTTCTGATATCCTCTATTTTTTTGAGACATCCTCTGTCCAAGTGACCCAATTTTCCACAATAATGACATAGGTTGATGAGTTTCTCGTACTTAAATCCAACATTAACTAGTTGGTCTTCAAGTCTGACCTTAGCCATTCTGGGAAGAGGCTCATTCACATTCAAAGTGACTAGAAGCTTGAGAATCTTACCCCCATGATTCCCCGTAGTTGCAATAACCACATTCTTAACTTAATTGAAGGCCTGTCCTATCTTTAATCCCACTTCGGTACTGATCCAGTTTAGAGGAATGTTTTGGACCTGTACCCATAGATTGAGCTCCTGAAACCCTGGATGCTTGCTGTTGATACTTGCTTCCCATTCTTTAAGGATGATGTACTGATTTTCGAAGCTCCAATTTGTGCCATTGGCAACCTTCTTCATATCATCACGGTTCTGGGATATGAATTGAAAATAATTTGGGCAGAGTTCCTTGACCTCCATGGGATGATTTAGCTTCCATATCTGCGACATTGCACGTTTTATACCAATCCAACTTGCTGGTCTATCGCCAATTATTTTTCCGAACAGGCTTTTGTTGCATTCTTCGTTACTGAGTTTGATGTCTCCCTGCGCAATATCAAAGATTTTGGCTTCATTAGTAGAGAGTGATACTTTATCTAAACGATCTGAGAGTTCCTGATCAAAATCCGCCATTGGAACCCTAAAAGCCCTCAATCGAAGACGAGAAAAGAAAGCAAAAGATTAGCAGCGAAGAGCGAACTCAGAGGATGAACAAATGGGATGTATTACTCGCTCACAAACAAGAAATCAAGGAAAAAAAGATGAAAAAAAGATGAAAAAATTTCGCTCTCAAAGAGAGAATCAGAGCTCTCAAAGAGAGAATCCAAATTTGTTGACTTATCGCAGGAGAAATATCTTGTGGATTTTTTTATTTTTTATTTTGGCTAATATATTTTCTATCCACCAATTATGTAAGGCTATTTATTTCATTCCAACTAAACATTTTTATTTCCATACATACTACATAATTACATAATTATCTCTTAATCTCTCTCTTTAATCAAAGCATAAAAATTGTTAATTGTTTCATACTTTCATTTTTATTTAAAAAACAAATACTACCTCCTAATTTTAATATATGTCGTATTGAGAAGTTGCACGTTAATTAAGAATATTTTTTGTCAATAATAACCTTATTTAATGAAGATAGAGATGAATGTTTTGAGAAAAAAGTGAAGAGTGAATATGAAAAGACGTAATATATTTATTAGTTAAATGAGGGTAACAATGGAAAAATATGTAGAAAAAATCCAAAACGACATTTATTTGACAAATAGTTGATAAAGCTAGAATGACATTTAAAAAAAATAGGAGAGAGTAAAATATATGACATATCTCTAAAGGGAAAAAATCATTTTCACCCCATAACAAAGACACATTAAGTTTTTCACACCGCCCAATAAAAAGCTAAGTTTTTCACCCCAGAAAGTGCGAAGGTTATGCGAAAACTGTCGCATATTCATCGCGTAACTGTCCATATGCGAAGGTTATGCGAAAAACTGTCGCATATCAATTGCATAACTGTCGCATATTCATCGCACAATGCCTTCGCACAATTATGCAATTGATATGCGACAGTTATGCGACAGTTTTTCGCATAACTTTCGCATATCAATTGCATAACTGTCGCATATTTATCGCACAATGCCTTTGCACAATTATGCAATTGATATGCGACAGTTATGCGACAGTTTTTCGCATATCCTTCACATATGGACAGTTATGCGATGAATATGCGACAATTTTCGCATAACCTCCGCACTTTCTGGGGTGAAAAACTTAGCTTTTTATTGGGCGGTGTGAAAAACTTATCAAGACTTTAAAACGGGGTGAAAATAGATATTTTCACTATCTCTAAAAGTATCTATGCATAAAAAAATGCAGAATGACTTGAATGATTTGTGGAAAATCTTTCTTCATATTCAACACTGAGGACAAGGAACATGGCCAGGGACACAGCGGAGGAGACAGTGAGTCGCAGCGCTATCGGTGAGCCGCCGCAATTTACGCTGGCCGCACAAAGATCGACTGCCTCCTCTTCATCACCAATGGTGAGGGATATGGCTAGGGACACGGAGGAGATGACGACGAGTGGCAGCGACACCATTCGATCATCAGCGGCGAGCAGCTCGAAGAGTACTAAATTACTTAAAATAAACTTCAAATAAACATCATGGATAAGAAAAATGAAAAATATACAGCATGTATACCTGCAACTATACAAACAACAAAAGAAAGTATAGGTTCCAAAAATCTACACCTTTTCTTGTGTGAATGATCGTCTCATTTTCTTGAGGTTCAATTACACTAACTGTACGTACGTCACGATCATCCAATTACAAAACAAAAATTTGAGTTTAAATTCTACCAGACAAACAACAAAAGTAGTATTAGTTCGGGATTATTATACTACATATACATAGAATATATATCACAAACATACTATATAAAGTTTTTAAAAACCAAAACAATCAATAAACAGTAAATAGATGAAAAACATATTGTATTTATATAAAAAATATACAATATATCGACCAACGACGACCCAGACGGCGTCGTCCCGTCGAATATGTAACCCTAAACATCATTTCTAGAATTTTTAACAATCTCCTAGTGATACGAGTGTAATGAATTTCACCCGACTCCCTCAACTCGAACGGCCTCCGTACCTGCAGAACCCAATGCCGGGGGTGGCCCCGGCGTGGGGCCTCCGATGCCTAAGTCAGTGCTCAGATCAAGAGAGAGAGAGTGTAGTATAGAATGAGTCGAGAGAATCGGAGAATGTGATACCTTAGCCTCCTTTTATAGGGGGAGTGTACCTTTTGGGCTCAAGTTGGGCTTGGCCCATATCGTTATGCTCTTAGTCCATACGTGGGCTTATCCTCCTATATATATTCGTTTTCTCCATTAAACCGGGTGTAGTATTATATCATATATCATCTAGTCCCCCCCACTCTAGTCGAGTAAGCATAACTCGATCCAAGAGCGAAATGTCTCTTCGAGCCGCTTCCGTCAACCTGCCACTGAGGTTATAGTTTGAATAAGTTCTCGATCGCTGAATAATCTTAAGACTTCCCAATGAGCACTGGGGACCATAATGGATCGAAAATCGAATGACCATCCACTGATATAAATAATTGAAGGACCTTCAAAAGAGGTCAAAAAACCGAAACCAAAATCCGAATGACAATTGAGGTTGAAAACCAAGAACCGGGAGACCCATGAGATCGAAAACTGAAAATTGAATAATCGTCGATGAGGTCGAAAGCCTGAAATCGAGAGACCACTGAGGTCGAAAACTGAGAACTGAAGTCAAACACCAAAACTGGAGTCGGGAGTCGAGAATCGCGAGACCATTGGGGTCGAAAACCGAAAAGCGGGATGTCACTGATGAGGTCAAAAAACAAGAACTGAATGACCACTTCCCGAAATTTTGAATTTAAAAATTTGAACTTATGTCTGTTGTGTTTCGATCATCCTGTTCGAGCTCTCTTAGACCACCCTTTCCTATCGCCCCTCAGTTCAAAATTTTAAATTCAAGCCTGCTGTATATTCTCTCAAAACCCAAAAGACCTGATTTCGTGAATTGCTCTGAATGAACTCCCTCGACCTGCCACAGAGGTCGAAAAATAAATTCGACAAGACCAAACCAAGCAAAAACCATCAACCTACTCGTGTTGTAATGAATCCCATCTACCTGCCCTTGAAGTCGAAAAATCAATTCGACAGAACCATAATCAAATAAAACGCAATCAACCTGCTCAAGCCATAATGAATATACTCGACCCGCCACTGAGGTCGAAAATAAATTCGACAAGACCAAACCAATCAAAAACCATCAACCTGCTCGTGCTGTAATAAATCTCATCTACCTGCCCTTGAAGCCGAAAATCATATCAACAGAACCATAATCAAATAAAACGCAATCAACCTGCTCAAGCCATAATGAATATACTCGACTCGCCACTGAGGTCGAAAAATAAATTCGACAAGACCAAACCAATAAAAAACCATCAACCTGCTCGTGCTGTAATGAGTCCCATCTACCTGCCCTTGAAGTCGAAAAATCAGTTCAACAGAACAATAATCAAATAAAACACAATCAACCTGCTCAAGCCATAATGAATATACTCGACTCGCCACTGAGGTCGAAAAATAAATTCGACAAGACCAAACCAATCAAAAACCATCAACCTGCTCGTGTTGTAATGAATCACATCTACCTGCCCTTGAAGTCGAAAAATTAATTCGACAGAACCATAATCAAATAAAACGCAATCAACCTGCTCAAGCCATAATGAATATACTCGACTTGCCACTGAGGTCGAAAAATAAATTCGACAAGACCAAACCAATCAAAAACCATCAACCTACTTGAATAATAATGAATACAGTCGACCCGCCACTAAGGTAAAAAAATAAACTCCCTGAGTTGCTCGAAATGAACTCTCTCGACCTGCCACAACGAGGTTAAAAGCACCAATACAACATAACCAAACCAAATAAAACCATAAACCTGCTCGAGCTATTTGTAATAAGCTTGATCGGCCTGCCACTGAGGTCAAAAGCATAAATTCCACAAAACCAAATCAAATAAAACTATTAACCTGCTCGATATATACGTAATAAGCTTGATCGACCTGCCACTGAGGTCAAAAGCACAAATACCATAAAACCAAACCAAATAAATCCATTAACCTGCTCGAGCTATCCGTAATGAGTTTCATCGATCTGCCACTGAGGTTAGGAGCACAATACCATAAAACCAAACAAAATAAATCCATTAACCTGCTCGAGCTATCCGTAATGAGCTTCATCGACCTGCCACTGAGGTTAGGAGCACAAATACCATAAAACCAAACCAAACCAAATAAATCCATTAACCTGCTCGAGCTATCCGTAATGAGCTTCACGATCTGCCACTGAGGTTAGGAGCACAAATACCATAAAACCAAACCAAATAAATCCAGTAGCCTGCCCGAGCTATCCGTAATGAGTTTCATCGACCTGCCACTGAGGTTAGAAGCACAAATACCATACAACCAAACCAAATCAATCCATTAACATGCTCGAGCTATCCGTAATTAGCTTCATCGACCTACCACTGAGGTCAAAAGCACAAATACCATAAAACCAAACCAAATAGAACTAAGTAGAAATAATCGACCTGCCTTCGAGGTCTACTCGAGCTATCCGTGTCTTCGCACTAGCCCACCCAATCCGAGGAATGTTCGAAATAGGGGGTCAACCTGCCCATCCCAAGGAGTGTACTAAACAAGCGACCACCTAGCCCGGAGGCTTTAGTCATGGTGGAATTTGTCTTCATACTGCCCGAATTAATCCATAATGAACTCCCTCAACCTGCCACTGGGGTTAGGAACAAATATACAATAATATCAGACCAAATAGAACCAAGTAGAAATAATCAACCTGCCTCCGAGGTCTGCTCGAGCTATCCGTGTCTTCACACTTGTCCACCCACGAGGAATGTTCCAAACAGGAGGCCACCCGGCTTGGAGGCGCGAGTATACGACCAACCTGCCCACCCCAAGAGATGTTCCAAACAAGCGACCACTCATCCCGAAGTCCTTAGTCGTGGTGGATTTGGTCTTCACACTTGCCCACCCACGAGGAATGTTCCAAACAGGAGGCCACTCGGCCCGGAGGCGCGAGTATACGACCAATCTGCCCACCCCAAGGGATGTTCCAAACAAGCGACCACCCAGCCCGATGGCCTTAGTCATGGTAGGTTAGGTCTTCACACTTCCCCACCCACGAGGAATGTTCCAAACAGAAGGCCACCCGGCCCGGAGACGCGAGTATAGTACCAACCTACACACCCCAAGGGATGTTCCAAACAAGCGACCACCCAGCCCGAAGGCCTTAGTCATGGTGGGTCTGGTCTTCACACTTGCACACCCACGAGGAATGTTCCAAACAGGAGGCCACTCGGCCCGGAGGCGCGAGTATACGATCAACCTGCCCACCCCAAGGGATGTTCCAAACAAGCGACCACCCAACCCGATGGCCTTAGTCATGGTGGGTTTGGTCTTCACACTTGCCCACCCACGAGGAATGTTCCAAACATGAGGCCACCCGGCCCAGAGGCGCGAGTATACAACCAACTTGTCCACCCCAAGTGATGTTCCAAACAAGCAACCTCTCAGCCCGAATGCCTTAGTCATGGTGGGTTTCTTTCTTCGAACACTTCGACTTGCCACTGAGGTCAAATAGGAACACACCGAGCAAAAAGATATGATAGTAATTGATCATTTTCGTTAGTATCACCAAATGCATAATTGCGTTGAACGAGGTAAAAAATGTTGAATGTATTTCTCGACCTCCCTTTCCTGGTAGTACATGATAGGGTCGAGTGGTCGTTTCTCAGGGAAGTTCTGTTTCGGATGGGCTTCCCTGAGCGTTGGATTAGTTTTGTGGAGGCATGCGTGGAGCACTGCATGTTCTCTGTCTTTGTTAAATGTAGCCCCACTTATTTTTTCCCTTCCACCCGTGGTCTTCGGTATGGGGACCCCTTATCCCCCTCTCTTTTTGTCCTGACGGCTGACTATCATTCTTGCTGCCTTGACGGTTTCATTCGCGATTTCCCGAAGATGACCTATAGCACACGTGGTTATGGTCCTCTCATATTGCACATTTCCTACGCGGATGACATTATTATCTTCACTTGTGCGGATAATAATGGACTAGCCGAGCTTATGTGCCTCTTGGGGCACTATAGTTTGGTTTTCGGTCAGCTTGTCAGTGTGCATAAGAGCACTTTCACCCTGGATCACCATATTGCGGACCAGTTGACCCATTGGGTCCACGAGCGCACTGGTTTTGTGCTTGGAGACCTCTCCATCACCTACCTGGATGCCCCATGTACAAGGGTCACCTCTCGCATGACCTCTTTATAGTAGGCAGAGGATAATTAACTGAATCTCTAGTTGGTCTCACAGACACCTATCTTTTGGGGAGAGGCTTGCTCTGATTAAGAGCACCCTTAGCGCCCTTCCACTTCACCTTCTTATGGTCCTCGACCCCCACCAGTCAATGATTCACGAGCTAGATCAGATCTTGGCTCGATATTTTTAGGGGCATGGGGAGGGCTACCGGAGAGGGAGACAGATTCACTGGGTGAAGTGGGATTCCATTTGTCGCCCCTTCTCTGAGGGAGGCCTCGGGATCTGACGCTTTTTGGACGTCGTCACTGAATTCTTTTATAAAATGTTGTGGCGCTTTAGGGAGAGTAAGTCCCTTTAGGCCTAGTATCTTCGTCGGAAGTACTGCCCTGGAAGCGCTGCCCACCCCTATAGGGTGACAGTCTTTGCCCGTTATAGCAAACAGTAGGGGCGACTCACCATGGTTGGTAGACGTGCTCAAAAGCACATTTTTTGGACTCTGAGTGAGGGAGACGTTAGTTTTTGGGATAAGTGGTGGTTTGGTGAGGGTCCTCTTTCGAGTTCTAGACAGATCACCCACCTTCTCATTCTGCAGGTGAAGGACCTGTGGACGGATGGGGATTGGGAGAGGGTAGGTTAGAGAGGATTTTGGGTAGTGGAGCGGGTTTTAGCGATCAAGAGATAGATGAGATCCAACAGATACCCACGGTTTGGATGGTATGAGGTGGAGACTTACATCTTCGAGTGCATTCTCTATGACCTCGGCTTGGGGGGAAGTACGGCTTTGAGACTGGTCTAACCTTCTCTTCGGGGCCATCTGGACCGACCTACTTACCCCGACCATCTCTGTTTTTCTATGGCGACTTCTTCTGCGCCGCCTACCGATTGACACTGTTATGCAGGCGAAGGGGTTCTCTTTTTCCCTCACATTGTTACTGTTGTGCTGAGACCGGTGATTTTCGGACTTAGACTTCACCCATTTGTTTCTTGAGAGTGAGACTCTGAGGAGAGTATGGAAGCATTACTCCAGATTCACCCATATACCCATACCTACCACAGATAACTTCTTTGAGCTTCTGAGTTTTTTCACATAGAGCACACACACTAGACACGTGGGCTTTCTTATTCCTTGTATGATCCTTTGGTCCACATGGACAGAAAGGAATAATGCGAAGCATAGGGATATTACCTTTTTGTGTTCCCATATTATTTTGCAGGTTGACAGATATCTATCTCTCCTCACTACTCTGGGTAGACTCACGTCGAGAGACTGAACAGGCTGCACGCCACCTCATCATTTTGCACCACCCTCACAGTCGCCTGCCCAGCACCCGCGGCCAGAGCTGTTGTTTGGCTGAGACCCGAGCCTCTTTGAGTAAAGCTAAATATTGACGGATCATTTGACCGACTTACCGGAGCCGCCGAAGGCGGGGGGACTAATTAGGGACCACAGTGGCGCTCTTATTACCGCTTTACATGTCTCTCTTTGGGTCTCATCGAGCTACGACGCAGAGATTCACGCGCTTCAGACCGGTCTTCATATTGCTGCCTTGATCTCGTCTCACATTTGGATAGAGTTGGACGCTGCTGCTGTTATCATCCTCTTGACCACTGGCCAGCAGGCACATGACAGATTCAGCATCCGCTCATGCGTATTAGGGACACTCTCTGATCGATTCAGTTTCAGATATCTCACATTCTCCGTGAGGGGAACCGTCCTGCTGACTTCCTCGCAGGCATCGGTCCTCCACCTCCAGAGACGCATAATTTAACCTGATGATATTCCTCTCGTCCTCCATAGTCTTATACGGTTGGACCAGATGGGATACCCTTCATTCAGATTTGCGTAGCCGGACCTATCTTTGGTACATCCGATCTTCCGCTGTCTCGTGATGCTGATTTTTAACTGGACCCTTCCGGACCAGGAGACGTTGTCCCTATTTTACTGGCAGCAATTGCCAGTCTTTTCTTGTTTTATTTTCATTTTTAGTTTTGCTTTTCGGTTGACTTTATGTATTTTAGACACTGTATTTGTAGATTGTAACATTCAGCCCATTTAGGGTCATTTTATATATACATGTTGGAGGTCCGGCCTAACCCTCCACCCTCTTGGGTGTTGTTAAAAAAAAAAAGTGAGAACGAAAAGAACTAAAAGCACACTGGTCACTCAGGTCATCAGGTCAACACAGACCTGAAGGGGTGACCCAAATCAATAAAGGGTCAACTATAAGATGGCCTAATTATTCGAACCGGACCAGGTTGATGTCCGAATCAACTGGGTCTAGGGTTCGGCCCGTCGGGCCTCTTCCAAACTGAAAAACTATGTATAAGATGAACATTATTTTTTAGAGTAAAAAAGAAAAAATTATATATGAAGTCCGCTTTTCTCTTCCCCAATTTTCACACT